GATCACTATCCACATCAGATTCTGATGCAAAGGCTACCCCGCCAGTTGCTCTTACACAAAGTGAAGAACTGGAACATCAGCCCACCAAAATGATACAGAGCTAGTGAGGTATTTCACTGAAAGTTACTTAATTTGGAAAGCTGTGGTGCCTTGTTGCTCTTCAAAAAGATGCAGAGAAAAGAAACTGATCCATCCAGGACAACAAGATTTCTTTTCAGAGTACAGCTGATCGCAGTCTCCCTGTCACTATGGAAACCTTATCAGACATGCTGACTGCTGTAATCAGCTCTGCAATCCAAAGGCAGACCTTTGCAATGAGATCCCAATGACTCACTATATTCCAGCAGAGTCATGCTGGGTCTTGTCTTTCAGACCTGAATCAGGAGGCCAGACTAACTCTCTTCAGTGAAGATTATAAAACTGAAACTATACTTTTTGTCACTAAGGAAAGCAGGAGGAGATGAAGTGCAGAAGCAATATCCAGAATAACTAGATGTGTATGCTTCACATAAATACAGGATCACTGAAACATGCAGTAGATCAAAATTCCAAGTACACGGCAGCAAAAATCAAATGTGGAACCCTCTCATAATGATCATGCTCTTTTTGTATTTTTCTATGTAACATTTTATACTGACAACATGTATACAGAGGACAGACTTCTTTGACACCATTTATCTGTCCTGATTTTTAAAATGCTTCAAGAAGCAACCTACACTCCAGTTTTATTGCTCTACAAGAAGTAAATTATTTAAGGTCAATATTATTTATTTCCCAGAGACATTCTGAAATCAAATGACAGTGATCAAAGAAAAGAAAATATGCTGTCATCTATCTGTACAGCATAAGCTTTGTCCAAGCATATCAAAAGGTAAACGTCTGAAAAACAAGCCTCCTCAAAGGATCTCCTTAGAAGTTTCCGAAGACTCTTCTAGTATTTCCAACCACGAGAGTCCAGAGCAAGGAGGAGCTAGGGCTGTAATGATGCAAGCCAAAGTAGACAACAGATTACTTCACTTATGTTGCAGCTACCCACGGGCTAATGAATCTGGAGGCATCTTTACACAATGGTGCTTATGCCGTGATACCTCTGGCAGAAGCGTGTAGAAGCAGCTTGTGCAAGCAAGTTTCTTCTTGATGGCACAGCTCTCCAAGACAACCGAATCTAAGCTACATGAACAAAAACACTCCTCTATCATATATGAGCATAAGGAAGCAGAGAGATGCAACTATCATATTTTCTTGTTAACTGCAGGCCCTCTTGCTGAGTTCTAGATTAAGGAAGGCAAAGGGAAAAAGTACCATATACTGGCCTTCTGCAAGCAGTTTAGGAAAGTATAAACTGGATTGCCACCTTCTCTTGGCTTGTATTCATCCATTTATCTTCTACCCCTTTCTCCTCCCTTATCATTGCACAAAGCTATGCAGACAACCAAAGCAAATCAGTGATCCGGCTGAAAACAATCCTTGCAAAAATAAGAGAAAGGTGCTTTCAGTTGGATCAATTCCCCAATACATTTCACATTACAACCACATGAACGCTTCAGCTGGCAAAGATGCAAGAGGAGAGGAGCTGGA